CTACTGGGTATTTATCCAAAGAAAAAAAAATCAGTAAATTAAAGGGATACCTGTACTCACATGTTTATTCCAGCACTATTCACAATAGCAAAGATGGAATCGACCCAAGTGTCCATCAATAGATCAATGAATAAAGAAAATGTGGTATATACACACAATGGAATATTATTTGGTCATAAAAAATAATGAAATCATGTAGTCTGCAGCAATATGGATGAACTGGAGGTCATTATGTTAAGTGGTAATAAGCAGGCACAAAGACACATACACCATATTCTCACTTTTATGTGGGGGCTAAAAAAGTTGATTTCATTGAGGTAGATAGTAGAATGATAGGTACAGAGGCTGGGAAGAATGTGTAGGTAGGAGGGGGAAAAAGAGTGGTTGGTCGAATAGTATAAACATACAGTTAGAAGGTATAAGTTCTAATGTTTGATAGCAGTGTAGGATGACTACAGTTAGCAACAATGTATTGTGTATTTCAAAGTAGCTAGAAGAGAGAATTTGAAATGTTCCCAACATATAGAAATGTTAAACACTCAAGGTGATGGATACACCAAATACCCTGACTTGATTGATCATTTTTTAAAATCTTGATTCACAATATTTTACATATTTATGGGGTATATGTGATATTTTGTTATATCTATACATGTAAACTATGTGGATGTATAACAATAAATTTTACATATTTATGGGGTATATGATATTTCACTACATGCATAGATGTATAAAAATCACACACATGGATGTAACAAAATGTCACATATACCCCATAAATATGTAAAATATTATGAATCAAGAGCAATTTAAAAAAAAAAAACAACCTACTAGTGGAGGTACAAAATAAGAACTGCCATCTCTCACTTAAAAGAATTAAAGGTGGCTGGGTGTGGTGGCTCATGCCTGTAATCCCAGCACTTTGGGAGGCCAAGGTGGGCGGATCACCTGAGGTTGGGAGTTCAAGACCAGCCTGACCAACATGAAGAAACCCTGTCTCTACTAAGAATACAAAATTAGCCAGGCGTGTTGGCGCACGCCTGTAATCCCAGTCATTCGGGAGGCTGAGGCAGGAGAATCGTTTGAATACCGGAGGCTGAGGTTACAGTGAGCTGAAATTGTGCCACTGCACTCCAGCCTGGGCAACAAGAACTCCGTAAAAAAAAAAAAAAA